ATTATAACCGTGTTCTCCTATGGTTTCAGTACTGAAGCATGTTTGAAGATTACACCCTGCAGATGATGAAGGAAAGCTAAACAGTAAAATGTGACAGACAGTTGCTGGATTTTCAGAATTTTAAACTGAGGTTACGGACACCATGCAATCACACCTTTTTAATGGTTGTCTGAAGTTAAATTCAGAGACCAGGTATCTGATCCACACTGGTAAGAGCAGTGTATTTGTCTCCTCAGGATGTTTCTGGATCCAGATGCTAATTTAAGTTTACATCCAACCCCCTGCCATGTGCAGGGACACCTTCCACTAGAACAGGTTGCTCCAAGCCCCTGTGTCCAACCTGGCCTTGAACACTACCAGGGATGGGGCAACCACAGCTTCTCTGAGCACCACCTCACCACCCTCACAGTGAAGAATTTTTCCCTAATAACTAATCTAAATCTCCCCTCTGTCAGTTTAAAGCCATTCCCTCTTGTCCTGTCCCTAAAGGCCCTTGTAAAAAGTCCCTCTCAAGATTTCTTGTATGTCTCTTTAGGCACTGGGAACTTCCCTAAGGTCTCTCCAGAGCCTTCTCTTCTCCAGGCTGAACAAGCCAACTTTCTCAGCCTGTCTTCACAGCAGAGGTGCTCCAGCCCTCTGATCATCTCCATGGCCTTCTCTGTTTGATGACTAGTTCTTTATAGCCTAATAATCTACTTTTTCTTATTAATCAGTACAATTTATTTTCTAGTTGCTGCCAGTAGTATTATTGCTTTTATTCAGCTTTATGAGGGTCCTATTTGCTTTTCCTGTCACTGAGTGTATTGCAAGAGAATTTAGTAAAAAATACTATTTCTTCACAAGAGGGGATGCAACAGACTGCAATTGATTTATTTGAATATCTAGAAAAGATCTCAGTAATGACATCAAAGGTCTCCTTAGATCTTGTTCCAAACTTCTTATGTAATTAATTATAGTCCTCTACCCAAACTATGCCTCAGATATGTGCCTGCCACTATTTCCAGCCCAGCTTGTGAGAATGACAGTTTTCCTTTCATGGCCCTACAGCTTGACCAATCTGTCCAGTGAGATTCTTAGTTGAGACTGTATGGGACTAGTGTACCAAAATGAATACTGCACCTCGGTAACCTTAGAACTGGAAACCTGAGACAGGAGAGGTCCATTTAGTAGAGATGGCATTACTAAAGAAACTCAGCACGCTAGCCCAGAATAACCTTGGAGCAGAAACACGCTCAGATGCTGCTAGGGAGAGGACAAACACTCTTCCTCCATTAAAACCCAATCTGTTTTGATAAAAGAGGAGTATGAACAACCTGAAGCTCTCTTGCCATTTTTCCAGTGTAAAGGTGGGTGGGATCTCCCAAGCCAGTACTGTTTTGAAAGAGAAGTGTTTGCTGTCTGGTGACTCACCTTATTGTTTTAAGCCAGAGTATCAAACTCAGGGTGCTGATTTTATCTCAATAGACCCAAAAGGTTCTTTGCTTCTGTTTAGTAATTCTTAAGTAATTCTGTCCATGACTTTTTTTTTCCCTAAAGCCTCCTAAAGAGATAGAGACTGTCGTATTAGGTTAATAACTTTTAAAATAAACAGCCAGATGATTAAAGCTGTTTCTTAAAATTGTATAAGAGTTAATTTATTGGAATTTTCAAGAATATTAATTACAGGCTTAATCTGGATTTAATTAAATGGGAACTACACCTTTAAGTCACTAAAATTCTCACTGGGATTTTCAGATGCATCCAAATACATCTTTATGTGCCGAAACACATTGAAAAGAAAGCTTTACCCAGCATTTTCAGGGAAAACAAAGTCATGTGTAATAGTAATCTCTTCCACAAAACAACATGTTGAGATTATTTTATTGAAAAAAGTATTGATTTTACTTTTTTGCCAAGCACAAAATAGCAAAGGTCGAAAATAATGCTCAGCTGAAGGGAGTCTGAGGTCACCCAAATGAAGGTTTGGGAACTTGAAGGATTTTCTTTCATGTATTTCTATTTTAGGGTTCAGGGATAAATGAAGCTGTACCAGACAGTAGATCTTTCTAAATGCTGTTTTGTTACTTCTTAATCCAATATCAAGGGAGAAAGTTTCTAGGATTGAATGACTAGTAGAAGTTATTTCTAATTCAGTTCCCAAAAGAATGAACAGGAACCCAAACTTGAAACACAGCTGTCATGTGGTGATCTCTCGATTTGATCAACTGATGACAGGAGAACCTGATACACAATAACACACATGTTGAAGAACTGGGAAATGTAAACAAATCTGTCAAAGCCTGTCTTAAAGTAGGTCCAGTAAATGCAAACATTTCAATAATATTTGAGTTGCAGAGATGGCTGGGTCTTAGAATATTTGTGAAATTGTAACAATTCCAGTTATTAAAAACTATAAAACTGTGTTTAGATCACACTTTGCTGCTTTTACACCCTATGCGCAAGAGGGGGAACTGCAGCAGTGTTATATGATTTCAAATGTGAAGCAGTAATTGTTGAACCAGTAAGAATCTAAGTTGCGGGGGCCAGGAAAGCTGACAGTACAAAAAGAGGTCACCAGTAGGAAGCAGATACTGTTCTCCAACCAGAGAGAGAACCACAGCTGTGCTGCACGCTTAAAACTGACAGGTCTGTAAGCTGCATGGATCTTCCCAGCAGCCTGTGGCCAGACCAACAGGGTCTTCCCTTCCCTCCTCTTCCCGTAACAGACTCCACTTATGGTGGTGATGCTGCTGTGGTCTCATCTAGAGCCATAGTTTCACTTTTTCTCATCTGTACTGTCACCTTAACTTTGCTTCCTTCTTTCTCAGATCTCCCAAACTTTCCTGACTTGCCTTTATCAAGTGCCGACACTGAATGATTGTGTAAGTGAAACAGTTGGATGGTTGACAGGGTTGTCAGGCATGCCTGCATCAGCCTGAAAAGCTAGTTGCATAGCTCTAATATGAAATACTCATAAACTCTGATAGAACAGCATGGAAATAAGAGTACACTCTGTACTTTAGTCATTACTTAGGGTACACCCTATACACTCAAAAGGCTACTGGTTGCACTGATGGAAAAGCTAGGAGGAGCTGAAATGCCATCATAGACCCACCTAGAAATCTGTGATTCAAAAGGGAAGCGTGAAGGTAAAATCCAGAATCATGAGCAGAACATGAGGAAGACAATAAATAGAATTGCCAGAAACAGTAAGATGTAGATATTGTAGTGTAATATATTTTAGCGATCTAGCATTCCTGGCTCTCTGATGACCTGGGTGCAGGAGGATTGGATTCTGTCTAATACTCATTCACCATATCCATGCGGTGTACAGGCAATGCAGCATCAGATTGCAGATGGAATGGTGGCAAATGTGTGCCATTTCAGCTAGCATCAGCCAGGGTCCATCCTCTGCCTCACCACCATGCTGATCACAGCATTCAGGAGGAGGAGATTCTGTGTCTGTGTGTGTCTGTGTGTGTCTGTGTGTGTGTGTGTGTGTGTTCAGAGCCAGAGAGAACAATCCCAGCTCCTGCTCCTGGCAGAAGGCTTCCTGCATGTCATTTCAGCAGGCAGAGGATGGAGATACACCAGCGTACACAGTAGTGTAGACTGGCATATGGTACAATGGTATATACAATATTCTCTGGAAACTGGAAGAGGAGTTAGCTGAGTTGCATCATCCCTGTTAGGATCATCAGAGAAGGTAATTGTTTCTTGTTTTCTCATATCTGTTTTGAAAGGAGTCACCCTTTTTCATCAGATGTGCATCTGTGGGAGTATGCTACCTGTTCTCTATTTGCTTTGTACAGATGTTCATCTTTATTTTATTTAGGGAACCAAAAGCAGCTGCTTCTATCTACAGTCATCTGCCATGCTTTCTCCCATGTTTGCAGTACATAGTTTGACATAACAATTGCAGAACAAACCCAAGAGACACCTCTGAGGAGCTAATTTAAGTCAAATGCAGTGAGTGGAAACAAACAGTAATTAGTAGGGGAAGAGGAGGAAGAACAGAATTATGCTGTATATTAAGTATTTAAGACCTTTCTTTTCCCTCATTTGCTGCTTCCCACGTATGCCTGTCTGAGGAAAAGTGCTTTTGACTGAGATGGTTTTGTGGAAATAGTAAATTAGCTCGAAGTTTCTAAGGAAGAAGGAAGGGAACTGGAGATTGTGCCACACAGGAGGAGGCAGTGCAGAGCAGTGAAGGTTATGGAGTGGCGTAGTCACTAGTCATTAGTCAGACCAGCATCACCATTAGTCTACAAAGAAAGGCTTTGACATGTATGTGCAATTTTCAATGCCAGTTACTAGAAATTCAGCAAAGAGAGTAGGAAGGACTCATCTGAAGCGTTTGAGCAGGTAATTGAATGAACAAAGGCAGTAGAGATTATCTTTGTTGCATAGCTCCGGATGCCACACTTTGGGCTCGATAAACAGTCTCAGTTACTATCACTGAAATGATATTTCATGATAATAACAGCCGGGAGCAGAGACTGTTTGGAATAGGTAAAAGATACATGGTTTTGGTCAGTTAAACCAAACTACTATCTGCAAAGCTATCTGTAAAATTATGTAAGAAGAAAAAGTAATGACTTGAAGAATAGAAACAAAACAGGTGACAGCACGAAGATGATTCAGACAAGGAAGGACCAAGAACAGTACTGGGAAAATGGAGCAATGAGAAGGAACTGCATACTGGCATGTTAAAATAGAAATTACATGGGAGATTGTTATGAAAGTAGGGTAGGAAAGAGGAGGATTTAGGTCTGAATTTAGGACTTAGGTACAGAGAGTACGTTCTACAAGGCATTGTCAGGAACATCTTATCATTTGGCTGGTAATCTGACCAGCATCATTCTTACGTAAGGTGATGTTTTCTGCTACTGCTTGCTCTAGCACATAGGTCCTTGAAAAGTCATTTTAATGCTAGTCATCCATCACTGACAAAGTCTGGTATCTACGTTCACAATGCCATACGTCACAGGTATCTTCATCATGGAGCTTGCTTTATCCTGTTACTGTTTCTTTCCTTTTCTTTTAATAATTCTGATTCTTCTCTGCTTGCTACCATGGGGTTTCTTTCTGGGAATCCTGTGCTTATTCTTCTTCATCCATTTTTTAACTTTTCTAATCCGTGGGCTCACACAAAACTTTCTGCCTTCTATGTAGAGACTGCCAGAGCAAAAAATGGTTGTTAGTTTCAAGGAAAAAATTTCACTCCCAAACTTTTAAAAACAATCATACTTACCACTCACCTATGGAGACCACAAAGCTAGAACTTGTTAATAATAAATTATATTTAATACTACATCTATTCACTTTTGTCTGATTTCAAATATGTAAAAGCTAGGGCCTAAGGTTTGCATGATTACACTTGTCTTCCAAAATCTGGAAAAAGTTTTACTACTTCAGTGGGTCTGAAAAGAACCACAATGCAAAATAGTACATTTCTATGGCCAATAAATAAGTAGACCACATCAGTATTCTTTTTCTCTTTCCTTCTCTTTTTCTTTTTCTTTTTCTTTTTCTTATTCTTTTTCTCATTCTTATTATTCTTATTCTTATTCTTATTCTTATTCTTATTCTTATTCTTATTCTTTCTCTCATTCTCATTCTTAATCTTATTCTTATCATCATGCAAATGCCTAAAAGAAGAAAATGCCTGGATTTCTTTGAAATTCACCCATTTAACCCAAACAATACTAGCCAAAAAAAAAGAAAAAAGAAAAAAAGAAAAGAAAGAAATGCATATGTACATAAGTAAAGAAGATTTAATGAGTTTAGGCAAGGTTTGTAGAGGATCAGTAGTTGATTCATCAGTAGTTCAGCAGAAGTCTTAAGGTACACGAGTCATTCTTCGGTTCTGAAAATAAAGTAACTGTCAAAATTAGTGCAGGCTGAATAATGATCAATATTATCAGTGAAAGGAAATTCAGGTTTAGCAGTCAGAAGTTTAAATAGCATAAGGAAGGACAGTTCTGAAATCACATAAAATTAAAAATCTTGTTTTTCATTGAATTTCTGTTATCATTCTGAGGTTCTGCTTGCTTAAATGGCACCTAATAGGTTTTAACTAGACAGTACCCATTTCACAGTGATGCACCCAAAACATCTCTTACATAACAGCTTCTAGGTGACACAGGCCATCAGCTTTCTGGATTTCAAACCTCTCCACTCTTCGGAGAATCCCTTTGGGAATTTCATCTGAAATTTTCGTGCAACAGTTAAAGGCCCCAGGAAACAAAGCTAAAAAGAGTAACAACAATGTTAGAAACAACAGAGATATGAAGGGGACAAGTCATAGCTGTACTTCACAGAATCAAGGGATGGTTGAGGTTAAAAGGGGCCTCTGGAGGTCATCTGGTCCAACCCCTCCTGCTCAAGCAGGGCCACTTTCTGAATACCTTCAGGGATGGAGATTCCACAAGATACCTGGACAACCTGCTCCAGTGTTTGACTACCCTCACAGCAAAAAAAAAAGTCATTTCCTGTGTTCAGATTGTTTAACATGTCTTAATTTGCACCCACTGCCATTGTCAGTGGGCACTACTGCAGAGAGCCTGGCACCTTCTTCTTTCATTCCCATTGGGTATGGGAATGTTGGTTACAACACCTTGATGAGAACTCCCTGGAGCCTTCTCTTCTCCAGGCTAGACTGTCCCAGCTCTCTCAGCCTTTCCTCGCATGCAAGATGCTCCAGTCCCTTCATCATCTCTGCAGCCCTTCGCTGGACTCTCTCCAGTGAGTCCATGTCTGTCTTGTACTGCGGAGCCCAGAACTGGACCCAGTACTGCAGATATGGCCTCACTAGTGCTGAGTGGAGGGGAAGGATCACCTCCATTGACCCTGCGACTGGTGTCCCCTGCTTGCATCCCATGGTAATGTGCTCAGCATAGCGAACACCGTTTAGTGAGGCAAGCAGCCATTCCGTGGCCAGACGAGTTATATATTTGTTCATTTTCTCTCATTATCAGGCCCTCATGATCCTGTGAACCAAATAGATGAACCAAACAGGTTTCTTCTTCCTTTCCCTAAAAACACAGCAGGTAGTGCTGCCTGGCTTTATTCCTCGCCTTCTCCCACAAAACAGATGGGTGTTTTTGTTGTCTAAAGAACAGCTTCCTCCACCTCTCCTTGTGCACACATATTAAAGGCTTGTTACTGTAAAATAAAAATAATACCAACATTAATTACACAGGAAGTGACAGGAGCTTAATTTAAAAGCTCTGCCTTGTGAGGTTGAATCAGGCCGATTATCGATTGAAATTATTAATGCTGTTGCTGGGTTTTGTGTTTTCTTTTGTCCCAAGAGCTCCCGCGGTTGAGTGTATCTTCACTAGGGAATGAACTCCTGCAGATTTTTTCCTGCTTGCTAATGGCATCTTGAAAATAAAAAGCCACTGAACCTTAAAAGGCAGATTGTAACTCACGATTCTTTGATGAAAAATACTAACATTTTGGTGTTTGATTTTCTTCTGCTCTAGCACAGAAATAGATTTTCTAAAAGGAATTCCATCCATCAGCTCAAGGACAAACAAAGCTGTGTGGCTCAGGGATTTATCTAGGATGTGAAGGTCTCGGAATCAAACCAAGCACAGCAAGAACCCAAGTGTGTGTCCTTGTCTGTGAATTCTTCTGGGAAAAGTAGAGAGAAAGTCTTCTTCCTATTTGCTTCGGCTTTTTTTCTTCCTAGCCTGTAAATCGTGCTGTTCCTTAAGTAATCATTTGGTCTTGGAACACAAGAATCATAGAGCAGCGTAAAAGAAGCAGGAGAATCAATTTCACTTCCTGTAAGCAGGAGACGAGAAGTCTGTGTAGAAGTTTTCCTGTAAGCAAGAAGTCTGCGTGCTCTGTTCCTTGCGGGAGCGCTCGCTGAGCACTGGGGTAGCAGATGCTGGCTGAGCCAGCAATGCAGCAGGAGTCGCTGAAGACCAGTCACACTGTCACCTGCAGCTTGCAGGGAGCTTTTGTACCGGTGGGGTTGGTGGCACAGCCCTGGCACTTTGCAGCTAGAAGGGAGGGTGAAGGAAAGCAGCTGGGCTAGCAGTTGCCTCCTCAGCAACCCAAGACCAGGGCTGTAGATAATCATACGGTGTGGAAGGATTAATTAAGTGTTACCTGTATTATTTCCCTGTTGTCCCTTGCTTTTCTCTCTTCAACAGCATACTGCTTGTGAAGCCAATTAATTGGTGTTTGTAGATGGGAATTCAGCTCACTGAGCACTGAGTTTAATTTCTTCTGAGGGCTCAAGACAGCACTGGTGACACTGATACATGAACTTTTATTGTTGCCATCAGCTCCTGGCAGACGGATTATGTGGGATAAAAATTCAAGGAATGGTAATTATCTAATGGTTGTGCTTTTTGGAGGGGTCTAGCCCTGTGCTTCTTTGGGGTATAATAAATACTTGGCAAGGCAACCACTGCCACCCTCCTGTGGAATGGCTGGATATTACATAAGGTCTTAGGATGAGGCAGCCGTCTCCTGAACTCTTCCTTACCTGGTTTGCCCAGGGCCTGGCTCCGATCTCTTGCCCTCACCCCACTTTACATACTCAGACACATCACTTTCTTCAGTCCTCAGATCTGAGCCATCTGTACGTCACTTTATAGTGCAATATATACCACTATATAGAATCATAGAATAGTTCGGGTTGGAAGGGACCTTCAAAGGTCATCTAGTATATGGCACTGTGTTAGTAATTTGTACACTTTATAACTGAAAATTAAGAAATTAATATTGATGTACTTTTATAGCTTTGTAAGGAAAAATACACAAAAACTCATATAAGGAAAATAAAGCAAAATTCCTGATGCATTTCTTGAGTGGGCTTGTGAGTATCTCACTGGCCACTCATGAGACTGCTCTTCTGCAAGGAATTTAGCCAACAGGAATTGCATCTTTCAGAATTTTGTTTGCAACTGCACCCTTATATACCACTCACATAACTAGAATAACAGTTTTAGAGTGCATTCAACTACCTGTTGCTCAGTCATCTTTGAAATGGAACATGAGGCCACTCACATCTAATTTGTGCAGCAATAGCAGAAGCTGTGCCTCTCAACGTGAGGGCATGCAACAGACTGCATGGGAAACTGGTGAATACACCAACACGAAGCAGATTGAAATTTTGTATGAAATGTGAATGAGGTAGTACTTATGTTCTTGCCAAAGAGGAAAAAGCATTTCTTACGGAGATTGAGAGGCTGTTAGTAACTTTTATTTGAGGTGTGTGCCTCAAAGTCAAGGGATGCTGTCTTGTGTTCATAGGTCTGAATGGGTGCTTGTCTTGAGGAATTCTGATCTGCACTGATTTTTGACAAAGTATAATCTGTCACTTTTAAATAATGTTGTTGTTGTTGCTTTGTGCATGAAAGTGCAGCTGCCATATGGAAAATAGATCTTCGAATCACAGATGAATACATGGCACCAGAGTCTTTTCATCAGACAACATGAAAGTGTCATTGGCAGCCTTGCGCTGACAGAGGCACTTGTGGTAACTGGTACCTTTTCACATGGGAGTTAGTTTTAAAAGTCTGGGGTTTTTTTAGCCCTGACAGTGAAGAAGGACCAGGTCAGGAGCCAAGGAGTTCCTGTATTTCCCCAGAGCCCCAGGGGAGGGCATGCTGATCTCCTGGAGCACTAAGTCATCCTGCAGCTCCTTTGCCCAGTCCCTATTGCCCTGACTGCATGCTAATCCCACAAGTGAAAAGGAACCAGGAGGCAATAAGCAAAGCTAATGATGTCAGCCCAGTGCAATACTGTATCTCTTCTGTATTTTCAGCAATTAGATCAGGCTTATTAGTAATCATTGGTCTAAACAGTGGCTAAAAGCAAAGAACTGTGGTTTTCCACAAAAACGTTGGCGTGGCTTTTTGAGTGCCATTTATCAGTCAAAGACACTTTTTCAGTGCTGCCCATTTCATTTTTCTCTATGGCTCAGTGGCACAATCAGAAGTCCATAGCTGCTTACCCGAAATCATTTAGACCTATTGTCTGACACTGAGCGTCTTTAACCAGAAAGCTGCTGGAAAGAGCTGCTGAAAGGAACAACAAGCTCAGTGATGGATCTTGAGACAGGTCCACTCAGGGATTTCCCTGTCATTATTTCAGCAGGTGGTATTAATCTGTTTTGGTATTTCTTCCCTGGGAACTCTCACCAAGGGAAGACCTATTGGTTTTTAAAGGTTTTGTTTCATGTCTTGAAATGGCATCTAAATACTTCAATCTTGCAGAAAAGTCCACTGGAGCAAGTTAAGCAGTTTTGTGGAGAGCAAGTAAGATATTAACTGGAAAAATACCTTCACTGACCCCACCTTCTCTCTAAGGATGCTTGGAAAGGACCTCCTTTTCAGAGGCATGTATCTTGTGGAATTCAACAGCGCTGGTCTTTTCATTATACTGGGTTTATTTAACATGCTTTGTATAGCTTTATCAATTTGAAAAGAAGTGGAAAGAAGAGAAAGCTTTGCCTTTCTAGTGAGAACAAATGGTTTAGCAGATTCAAAAAAGAGACTTGATTTTTTTCTTTATAAAAGGGAAAAAAATTCAGTGACATTCTGAATTATTTTGAAATGCTGCTTGTTGTTCAAGCAATGTAGCCCAAGGACTTAATTTAAACTTCCCACAGTGGTTTGTTTTCTTGGAAGCCCTTCAAATCTTGGTGGTGCAGTATTCAGTCACTTTCTTAGTACTAAAAGGATCAAAAGCAGTTGCAACTAGAGCTGACTGTTTTCACTTGCAATCAGCCAGACTTGTTAGAAGCTCTTTTAGTAAAAAGTTGCTCCTAAATGGAAAAGAGTCCCTAAAGTCTGTGAGACTCCATGGGTACTGTTCATTGTACCTGTCTTTAAGCTTCTGCTGATCGTATCAAGTCTCTGACTGCCAGAAGTTTCTTGTTTCAATTTCCTATCTGCTACCTGGCCAAACTTAGTCCATAGAAACTTTTCTCATCCTTTCTGCTTTGCTATTTTCATCATCATTCTCAGACTCGAGAGCCACATGCTAAACTGCTGGGGAAGGCCATGTCATTGAGGGGGCAGGCAAGAAATATGAAAAGCAGTTATTGCTGTCTGCTCTGTTTCTGGAGCAACAAAGAACGTTTTCCTCTTTCTTCAGTTTTGAGCTGATATTCTTAGATTTGCCTACACATTTAGGGAAACTGTAGTGCCTGATGGAGAGCCCTCCTACGGCATCCAGTGGGAGCAGCGGGTGTCTGTTCTGCTGCTCTCCGGCCGCAGCTTCCAGGCAGGAAGGACTGGGTTGCTCTGTCAGTATGGGTAGGGCAGACCACTGTCAGGGAGAAAGAGCAGCCATTGCTTCAGCCAGGCTCTTCTGTAGAACATCTAACATGGCAGGGCAGGTCTTTGCCTCGTGCAGGGGGGGCAGATCGAGAATCAAGAGAAGATGAAGCCGCATGGAAATATATGGTGAGTGATGGAGCTGTTACGTTCCCACCCTTGTGCTTGCTCTTAGCTCTGTTTTCATTTTGACTAAACACAGCAGGGAAAGCCGGGCATTAGACGAGGACAGTGAGAAGGGCATTTTTGGTCCCTGATTTCTGTCTGCTCCAGAACCAACCCAGCTGTCTGAGGGAACCTTGTGCAGCTCTTTTCCTGACGGGTTTCACTCCAGCAGTTCGTGCTTTGAGCAGGCCCCTGGTGGTCCCTCCGAACCCTGCTGGCAGCACAGAGAAGCCTGTCAGTGCTGCTGGCAGACCCCTTAGTTGACCTTTGTGAACTGGATGTGACCCACGCACGGCGGTGCCGTGGACATCCTTCTGTGCAACAAAACCCCCCAGAAAGGTAGTTCTTGCGCTTACACAACCTAAGGGAGCCCAGCAAAGACGTGAGGAGTTCTTAAGCAGAACAGGTTCTCCCAACATACACTATATGGTCTGGGACAGCCTCTCTTGCAGTGAGATGCATAAACCTGAGGCACCTTATGTGCTGAAACGTGAGACCTGCTGATTGCCACAAGTTCACGATGAACTGATACAGCTCTACACCCATTGCACAACATTGGCACACCTGGGACTATTAGCAGCAGGGATTAGTGTTTTCTGCTGGAATTCTTTTGTGGTTACAGAGTAGGTTTTGTACATCTGGAAAAAACCCTTTGCATTGATTAATCATATTAATGTCTTGCTTAGTCAGAACATGATATGTACTTAAATGTTCTGGTCTCAATACACCCATTTCCATAAAGTTTGAGCTCTTAATCTGGTGTTGTAGGGATATGAATAGCATCCAGGTTCTGTCCTTGGAAGGAAATTTGCTATCACAATACCCACACTTTGTATTAACTACTCTAAAGCAGATAATTTAGTCTTTTGTGCATGAAACTGCCAGAAAAATTTGCTCTCATCTAAAACAAACTTGATGCTATTTTAAGAGTTCAGTATCTCAAATCAGGCCTTTTCATCTTAACCTAAAGCAAGTCAGTATTTCATTATGCAGAAGGCTCTGATTCAGGTTGACAGGTGAACGAAGCAGGATGCTAGAATCCTTGGCAAATGTAACGTAGCTGTACTCTGTAAAAGCAAGGAGGTTGCCTAATAGCTGGAGATGATAAGGGAAGTAAAATGCTGGAAAATACTCTAATGAATCCTACTATTTTGGGTGCATGGTAATACACACAGTTAAAGCATAATTCTGAGAAAGAGATAAAGAAAAGACAGAAGGGAGTCTAAGCTATATCTGCTGAAGTGGTGGAACCAACAATAAATAAAGTATGAATTGTCATATATAACTATATAAATCATACTGTATGATTTTATGACCAAGAATAAATACAAATGAAGTAATACAGTGATGCTTTTCCCATGCCGCTGTGACAACTGCTGTTAATATGGACATTTTCAAGGGTGGAAGGCTAACTAGAGAGGGACAGATGGGTCTGTCATATAGGTCATGATTTTCAAATGGGTCTCTGTCCATCAAATCTCTGTCAGTTTGCAAGCTGTCTGTCCCCATACAACACCCTTGATGCTCTGGAGTACAAAGCATCGAGGAAAGGGAGGCTGAAGATTCGCAAAGCAGAGTGTGATATCGACATGGTCAAACAAACGTTAATATCCAATGCCTTGTCAGAAGGTGAAATTTCTGCTATCCCTTGCAAAAACAAACCACATAATGACTTGCACATTAAGATGGAAAAAGAAGCTGTCATGTGAACATACATCCGGGCTTTTTTATAAAGCAGTACAATTTGTTAAGAGGGAACCCACCTTGCACACTGCACAGATCACCCTCACTCTGACCAGACCAGTATTACTGGAATAACTTGGCTACGACAAGTCCATCTAACTCCTTTGGGAAGACCCAGACAGTCTTACTTAGTTCTTATTCCTACTCTGTAGCATTCAACACTTGGTTTGGACACTTCTACTGTACAAGAATTACCAAATCTCTCTCTTTATAACTTCAAGATGAAATGCATGTGGGAGTTCTGACAGAGAACTTCTGTCTTCTCACATTGGGATTCAAACCAACCACCTTTGAAATAGGTCCCCTTGCCTAACCTGCTGCATACTCTGCCATGCAGTGCTGCCCACCTCACTGTAGGAGAGTGACCTAAACCACGACAGAGAGACAGCTCTGTAAATCCCTTGCACTGAGAAGGGATGATGGAAGATTTCCAGGGGTTTTAAAGTAGAGTTGAAAATACTTATTTTGAATTATATTACAGGGAAAAAATTTCCCCTTTACACTGTATAGAACACCCTTGATCTCATTTCTGGCTCTGCCTGGTAGGGTCATGTTCTTGCCTGTGGCTGGGTGTAATTTTGGCTGCTAGACGGCTTTCCTGGCCTCTGCTAGAGGCTACCAATTCATATCCACAAGCAAAGGAAACTTTTGCAAGTTTGCATGTAGCAGCCCAAATCTTACTTGTGTTATGTGTACTGTGACTCTGAAATGAATAGGTGCATAAAGGCCAGCCTAAACAGCCTAAGTCTAGTTCATATCAGTGTATGGTGTGCCCGTACCCAGATACCCACATTCGGTTCTCCCCATTTTTATTGTGGGTTCTGCTGTTTGAGTGTTGTTGCTAAGTATGGAGCATGTTTGCGTGGGGAAAGTTAGGTGGTAAAGGTATTTCCCCTGTGCCAAATGGTTCAGTATAAAAGAATGTGTTCTAGGAGAACCTTTACTTTGACCTGTGCATGTACGTGCCAGTCCTATTGTGCAAGATGTTGCTGACTGGCCAGATCATAAATCTAATAGAAGAGCTCTTGCAGAGCCTTCCCATGTCAGCAGGTGCAGTGGCCATTTTAACAGGACAGAATTTTAAGGCAGATTTTGCCTATGTGTAGTCTAAATCCTCACAGAACTCCACAATTCCTACTCCTGCTG